CTGTCTCTCACTCATAGAAGAAGGAAACAAACATTTTTAAAAATATACTTAAAGGGGACCAGCAGGTGGCATGGTGGTTAAGGCTCTGGACACTCCCATATGGCCGACCATGGTTCGAGTCCCAGACCTGGCAGCTTGCTTTCTCACTCCCTCTCCTGGTCAAATGAAAATAAATGAATGAATGAATACAATTAAATAAATCTTTACAAATAAATCTACTTAAAAATCAAAACCTTTTAGTTAAGCAATAGATTGCTTCCCAGGTAATTATCCTAGAAAAAAGCAATTATAATAGTCTATTAAAAGTTATTCTATCCATATGTTTCCATTTGTTTAAAAAAAGGCATAAGCTTTTATGTACATGGGAAATTGTCTGGAAGAACATGCACTTAACAATTAACAGTGGTTGCCTTTGGGCAGGCAGTTTAGGGTCCTTGATTGGAAGGGAAACCTCCTTTTTATTATATAAATTTTTATACAGCTTAATTTTTGCTACTTTAAATATTATATTTTCAATGCTAAGTGCTAGAAGAAAACAAAAACGGTGCATTCCATGTAGTCTTTCAAAAATTCCAAAATGCCTCTTGTAAATAAGAGAAAAAGAGGTGAGCTACTCTTTGCCTGCTTTTTTCTGTATGTTATACTGCAAAGAATGAGCTGAAAGACTTTGAATGGAAGGTTGTTCCAACACTGATTAAACATAAGAGATTAACAAGCGGGTCCCACTTAAGATTATGTGGTTAATGAGGACCTCTTTGGGGAAATCATATTTCTTTTCTTTTTCTTTCTCTTTTTTTCTTTTTTTCTTTTGCTATAAGGCATGTGTGCTCATTGAAGAGAGACAGAGAGAGAGAAAGAGAGGGAAAATGAGAAAGCACCCAAAGGGGTGGGGGGATGGCCACATCAGAGTCCATTTTCCTCTCAGGATTTTGGGCATACACACATAATGCCCAGTGTATTTTTCAAACCCCTGGGTCTTGAACTCAAACCTTGCTGTCAGCCACGTGGGATCCAGTTGCCTTAACCTTCATGCCACTGGCTGGCCCAAAGAATCAACATTTAAGCAGAGAGGCACAGAAGGGAAAAGTTACCCCAACTAGGGACCTAATTTCTTCCTGACAGTATTGGGACAGTTACTGTACTACATCCTTTCTGAATAAAGTGGGTATATGTTAGGGAAGTCTACACTGTGATCATACCTAAACCACTTTCAGTGATTTCTTTCAGATACCTTCTGTCTATAATCCCAAGGAGCAACATTGATCACTCCTGGAAAAAAGAAAAATAGCACCACCACCACCTCCACACATATTTGTGTCAAAGACAGGAAACGCCATATCTTTTTGCTTCCCACCAGTTCTTTCTGTCTTTTCTTTCTATCCTTCCTTTAAGCCTAACCCTATTCTAACCCCTGTTTAAGGAATCGTGGGACCAATAGTTGGCATAATGACTATGTCTCTGGACTCCCATGTAGTCGACCATGGTTCAAGTCCAGGACCTGGTGGCTTAAACTCACACCAGGCATGTGTGTGTGCGTGCTCAAGATCCCAAGAGGAGAATGGAGAAGAAGAGATTGCTGCATGGCCATTGCCCCAGGGGGTGATTTCTAGCTTTCTGTTTCTCTGTCTCCCTCTGTCTCTCAGGTGAGCGCACAGGCCCTATAGCAAAAACCTCTCAAAAATAAAAAAGTTTAAGGAATCATGAAAAAGAAAAAATGTTAATTGTGATAGGAAGAATCTGAAAGAATACACGTTTAGTTGTGGTTTTTCTAGATCATTTTCTTAACACTTGCCACTTAGACCATCACAGAATTTCAGAATCCCCTTTATTAAGCAAGAAACATCTTTTGCTTTTCTCTCATTGTTGGATGTGTGAATTGGAAAATCCATCCATGTAGATTTCATGATTTTAGTCCCCAGGAATGAGCAAACAAACAGTTCAGTCATTTTAAAACATATCCCATAACAATTCCTATACATTTTCATTACATCCCTTTAGTGAAGAACTATGATTCTGGGGACAAGATGGCGGCACAATAATAACACATCATTCGTAAAGCTGACCCACATGGGAAGGTTCACCTCCATAACCCTCTCTGAACACAATGGGCACACGTGTGCCCGTGATCCAGGGCTGGCTGATGCTGGGAGTGGTACGTGGCATGAGTACCCTGTGAAAGACGCCTCTTTCTTCCCCACCTCTTTGGAAGAAAGAAAGAAAAACTATAAAAGAAGAAGAAAGAAGAAAGAAGAAAGAAGTAGAAGAAAAGAAGGAAGAAAGGAAGCAAGAAAAGAAAAAAAAAAAGAAAAGAATTACAATTCTGGGCCAAAATGCTAAATTTTTATTCTATAAAAAGTAGTTTTGGGACCAGCAGTTAGCGTAATGGCTATGTTGCTGGACTCCCACGTAGTCGACCGCAGTACGCGTCCCGGACCTGGTGGCTAAAACTCACGCCAGGTGCGTGTGCGTGCGTGCCCACCAAGATCCCGAGAGGAGAATGGAGGAGAAGGGATTGCAGCGTGGCCATCCCCCCTGAGGGGTGATTTCTCACTTTCTATCTCTCTGTCTCTCTCTGTCTGTCTGGCGAGTGCATGCACCCTATAGCAAAAACCTCTCCAGAAAAAGAAAAAAGTAGTTTTTATGTGTGTTCTTGTCTTGAGTGATTC